TATATAAACAAAATAATAAAAAAAAAACTAATACACTGTATAATAATTTTATTTAATGCAAACTGTTCATCTAAAATAATAGTAATAAATAATAATAATGCATTTCTTGGAACTGCACAAAAATTTTTTTATTTATTTATTTATTTATAGGGACATGCAACCCCGTAATTGGCTAATTGATGTGATTTGGGCTAATTGTTGTAGCAGGTGTCTAATGAGAATCTTGAAAAAGCTTTCTTTATTGAAGGAGAAATTACTTCTTGTATGTGAAAGCACTACATGAGCACGTGTTTATAATGATCTTAATGTATTGACAAATGTGCGTGGTTTCTGAGAGTGGGATTCTGGGTAAAAGATTATCTTTTGTTTTATTCTCTCTTTTGAATCTAGTCAGAGCTTGAAGAAGAGCTGCCTCTTTATCAGTGTTCATTTGAAGGTCTCTGCTCTTTGGTTCTTCTCATGCCTCATAAGAGCTTTCCATTTTATACCTTCAGTGCTCTCACCCTTCCCTACATGAGGCTCAGCTGCTATATTAATCCATTTCAATACCCAAATTACATGTATATACGTTCACGAGTCTGTCCAGCTCCAGCTGAGTGGGTTGTAAAAGTAACCAATGAATAATAACTTGCTTTTCCCACCATTTTGTTAAATAGAAAATGTGATTCAATACATGATACAAATGTTTACAGCTGATCAAGCTGTACAGCTAAAAAAAAAAAAAATCATAATTTATTCATGGTGACTTTATAATATATATATACTGTAAAAGTTAAGTATATTTTAAAAGAAAAGAGTTTAAAAGAAAAAATTTATTTTTTAAAAGAACCTCTTAGAGATCTCATTATTTAATGTATTTTTTGAAGAAAACAATAATGGTGTATGTGTATGTATGTATATATATATATATATATATATGTGGGCAATTAATATATCAGATCTGCTTTTTACCTTTCCAAAGATGAACACAAGCATGTTGTTGTGAAGCTGCTTGCGTGCTTTTTCATTTATATTTGTGAAAAAAAATAAAACTATGCCAGCCTTCATGTTGCCGTGGCAACGTGAGGCGACATGATGCATTGTGTGGTGTGTACAAGTAAGAGAATGACGGAGAAAGAAGAGAAAGAGAGGCATGTGAGTCATAAAATACTGTGACCCTGAAACTTGAGCAGAAAAAAAAATCTGCCTAGAGTAAGAAAGAACGAAGGCTATGGAGGGTCAAGAGCAAGCTGGAGTCAAAATGACCTAAAATACAGACAATGGCCGTTGATGGTGTTCGGTTAACTAGCTGGTGAGTCACAGAGGAATGTAATCAAAGTGCTGAAATGCCTGAAGTGTTTCGGTGTAATTTCTAAACGTGAGGAGGAGAGGCAGAATTTAATGATGTGAGAGCGGCGCGCTTGTGATTTGATCTTCAGCCGTCTTGTTGTTGTCACGTCTCAAAGAGGCCTTTTAGCCTGAAACTATCACTGGCATTGAGTGGGCAGCAATTAAAGCTGTAAACTCTTGAGCTCGGCCCCGTGGTGTTTGAATTCAATTACATAGTTGTTTATTGAAAGACATTATATTCTTTCTGTCCATTCTCCAGCTTTGTGCTTTGGAGAAATCAATGGAATTTTGTCTCATATAAGACACAGTGATTTTACTTAAAGGGGTCATATGATGCGATTTCAAGTTTTTGTTTCTCTTTGGAGTGTTACAAGCTCTTGGTGCATAAAGAAGATCTGTAAAGTTGCAAAGACTAAAGTCTCAAATCCAAAGAGATATTCTTTATAAAAGTTAAGAGTCAGCCACACCTACCTAAAACGGCTCGTTCTAACACGCACCCACACCTTCCGGACGCTCCTTCGTCGAAATCGCCGGCCGCACCGTTCTCAAGCCCACCTCCTCTGCTCACTCTAACCCTCCCACCGTTCCTCATGAGCTTTGTAAAAATCGACGTGTTTCAGAAAGGCGGGGCATAGAGGAGAAACAATAATGTACAGTATGTGGAAAATAATGTGTTTTTTTAACCTTAAACCGCATAAACACATTTCATTACACCTTTCATGTATTTCATTACACAAAATACTGTTCTTTTTTAGCAGCATCATATGACCCCTTTAAATAATGGTGCTATTTGGCTTTTCACAATAAATTACAGAGAAAAGAGACTCTTTTCTTTGTAGAAGCTATTGATGTCTGTATAAATGACCTAAAATCATATTTCAGTCTTTCTTAAGCTAATCACCGGTTGAGTCTTGACAAATCTATATATTTATTTGTTCAAAGGACACCCATTTTAGCAACCCTTGCACCAATTATCAAACTTTGAATGAAAAACATCATAACATTTGCTGCATTTACATGAGACAAAATAAAATAATAACAATAAAAAAATCCACTGACAAAAATTGCCGTTATTAAGATTTTTGTTAATGCTTTGAAATTAAAATCATTTATAAAATAAATTAAAAATAAAATTAGAAATTAAAATAAATTAAAAATTGAATGACATTTTTAGAAATAATAACAACATAAATAAAATAAATTGCATCTGATTTAGTAACATATATATCAAATTAATGGTTTAATTGATACACTTTTTTATTTTATATAATTCTGTAACTCCCAATTATCCCATTTATGATAATGACGATGACGATGATGACTTTAAAAATTAAATGTGCAAAAGACAATTACCATGTTTATTTGTTATTAAATATGAAGTAATTAATTAGCATTTAATTTACTATAACATTCAAAGAACATCTGTTGTAACAAAAAAAAGGTAATGCTGTGTGTGTGTGTGTGTGTGTGTATGAATGAACACATATTGTGATGGAACAAATTTAACATAAATAAAGAAGCATATACTGTACTGCACGTGTCCCCTCATCCCCTCACGTACAGACCCACGCCGCAGAGGACGGAGCACCGCGCAACAACTCACATCGATCAAGACGCTGTCATTACATAGGCTATCTTAAAGGGGTCATATGATGCGATCGGTATTCGGCCAATCACAACGCATTGGATAGCTGGCCAATCACAGCATACCTCGCTTTTTCAGACCGATGAGTTTTGTAAAAATCGACGCGTTTCAAAAAGGCGGGGCATAGAGGAGAAACAATAATGTACAGTATGTGGAAAATAATGTGTTTTTTTAACTTTAAACCGCATAAACACATTTCATTACACCAAATACACAAAATAATGTTCTTTTTAGCAGCATCATATGACCCCTTTAAACATTTCTTTTTCATCAGTTTATGTTTGCTGAATTTCACCCGCATAAATGTTTAATTCAGCGCAAATATGCCACTTCATTCCCCCACCCATATGGAGGAGTGCATGGGATCTCCCTACTTTGCATATTAACTACAGAATGATGCTGGGTGTGTTTATTATTTAATTAATCTGCTACTTCTGTTAGATACATTTAATATACAGAAATGTAAATATACGGGAAATAAGCCTTTGTTTTTGATTATAAAGACAGAATTACCAAACTCATAAAAAATAATTATTGAAAAATACGAAACCGTGTGACAAACATTATAATACAATTTATTATAATACGATTTATAATACAAAAAGGGGTCCATATGAATAACTGTGGCTTAAAAAACTTTTACCACATAGTAGCCTATTACAGGTTTTGTTCTTAACACATAAAAAAAACATATAGTAACTTT